TATCTATCTATCTATCTATCTATCTATCTATCTATCTATCTATCTATCTATCTATTTATTTATTTATTTCCCTCCCTCTCTCTCTTTCTCTCTCTACCTTTAACTTTAAGTGTGCTTTGTGTGTATGTGTGTGCGGTGTGCGTGTGTGTACGTGTGTGTGTCATTCTATTTATCTATCTATCTACCTTTCTATCTATCTATCTATCTATCTATCTATCTATCTATCTATCTATCTATCTGTCTATCTATCCATCTATATATATATATCTATCTATCGATCGATCTATCTATCTATCCATCTCTCTGACTGCATGTCTAGCTAACTGTCTCTCTCTCTTTATCGCAGCCTCTTTCTCACTCTTCGCGGGTGGCTGACGGGTGTTCTGGTGTGGTTTGCTCCTTTTTTCCTGTCATACATCTATTCTTATCTTTTTCTTTGTGTTTGTTACTTTCTTGAAACACCTTTAATTTTCTGCACTTATATTACATTATGGTGTCTTCTCCTTCACTTAATTTTTTTCCTCAGCGATAACTGTGTGTTCTATGAAGAAACAGATTCTCCACGAACACTCTCTACAAATTGTTATGAATTAGTCTGACAATTCGCGGAGTTTATTGTACATAGACATGTGACATAACATGAATGTTTTCCTTAGTGAACGTTGTCTTGCTTTCTCCGAAGCGCAAAAAATATCCTTTTTGTGACGTCATGAAATAATCAACAGTGACGCTAATTGAAACTACTAAGGTTGGAAAGAGAGCAGACATGTTATAGATTAGATATCTTAACCGCTAGATGGCAACTTTCATCCGTCTCTGATCCAGATCTCTGGGGTGAGGCCACGAAGTCTCCGTCCAGCCTTCACATGCCGAGGTCAGGCCACGTACAGAGACCCTCTGGGACACCTGGTGGACGAGTGTGGTCGGCCAGTCACGTGGTCAACCCAGAGGTCACACACACCAGGCGGCCAGGAGGGGGAGGGGCAGGGGCAAGGACCTCCCTTAAGGTTCTGCCATTACGCCGGAGGGGTGGGCGTGTTTGTCAACAGAATGGGTAGGTCTTAGCTCTTTTATTTTTAAAGTGTTTTACGGCGCTCGCTACTGTATAAGGTCATAAGAGCGCGCCGGACACAGTAAATATTTTCAGTTGGTAGGGAATTTTGAATTTAGCCCGGGTGGCGGCCGAAGCTTACCCTTATCGATTTTGGACCAACGTGCTCAACTTGCACACGGGGCCTCCGAGATTTTTCGCCTTTGTCCGAGAAGGCTAGGTATACATCTTTCCTACAATAAGATCAGGGGTGTGGATGAATGTCAGCAGTCAGAAGCAGCCAAGGAGTAGCAGCAGAAAGGCTACAGAAAGAGTCAAGAGCCTAGAGGAGGGGGCAACAGAGGTGAGAGGGTGGGGGCAGAAAATGGAGACCAAAGTAGGCCACAGAATATTGCTAGAGCGCAGGACAGGAGGTGAAATGAGATAATTTTGGTGAAGAAAATTGTTCGTCTCTATCCGGATTCGAACCCGGGACATATTGAATGTGAGGCGAACACCTTAACCTCTAGGCCACGAGAACCCCCTTTTAGCTCTTTCTTGTCTTTGATTGGCGTATTTTGATAGTTGATGATTTATGCCACCCTCACACCCAAACATCTTCTCTCAAAGAAATGGCAATCGAAATACACAACATTTATCATCATAACAATCATAATTACGAGGTGAACAAGCGGGGGGTCCTCCTTTAAAGTTCTGCCACCACCACTGTGGGGTGGGCGTGATTGTCATCGGGATGGGTGGGTCATCGCTCTTCCTTGTCTGTGACTGGATATTTTTGACAGTCGATGTTTTATCCCAACCCCGCCTTCAACCCCCCCACCCCCCCATCCTTTCCCCCAAACAACCCCAAAATGAGAATCGAAATACTCATCCATAATTATTTTGTGGACGGAAAGACAGGGTTCCCTTTTAGGTTCTGTCATTCTGAGAGAGCGACAGGTTGGATAGGTCCTAGTTCTTCCCCGTCTGTGGTTGGATTATTCTTTACAGTTAATATGTCATCCTTTCATCCCACTCCACCTCTTAATTCCCCATAAAAAATATCCTCTCTCACAAAAAATATATAAATATCGAAATACACTGCATTGATAATTTAGGAGGACAGATTTTCCGCTTCTGCCACTTCGTCGGAGAGGTGGGCATGTTTTGCCAACG